TGATACAAGGGGGAAGTGGTTGAAGGTTGAAAGCTGTGGGTCGGTGCAGGAGGATAAATGAGGAGGAATGTGATCACAGCTAAAATATAAACCGTTAAAAAATAAATTAACTGTTTTCACTGTCAAGCTTTTATTTTTTTACTAAAGTATTTGATCCAGCGCCTTATCTTTTATTTTTAGACCAAACACTCCCAGAAATGAGTTTTTCTACAGACTGGAGTTTTAAAAACTGCTGACTCTGCTGGAGTTGTTGTCAAACTGGACTTTCTGTAAATGGTTTGAACTGGGATGTGATTTGATGAGAACTTGGTTCTGTGCCCTCAGAGGAGTTCTGTTGTGAAGCAGAACTTTTTAAATGAAATGAAAGAGTGACTCCTGCTGGACAAGAACAAAGAAACTATCTTTATTTTGTCGTTTCCAGCTGTTTTAACCTCTGTTCTCCAGAAAAGTTTCTCTTTAAATCTCCACAACATTTAGGTTTTCTCACTCGTTTTGATAAATCAGATGAGTTATTATTAATAAACGAGGATTCTCTCAGTTCAGCTTGAAAGAAGTTTCCATGAAGAATGTGTGAAAATTATCTGACGGGGCTTTGATACTTTAATTAAAAAAATAAAAATCTTATCCTTTGAATGTCAGTAAAAACAGTTCTTGTCCATCACGGCTCTGAAAAAGTTCTACTTTAGTTCTGACAAGCGTCTGAGGGATTTGAATGCTTGTAGTTTTGGAGATTTCTGGACTGACACAGGGAATGAAGGAAACCTAAATGTTTTTGATGGAAGATGTTCAAGTATCTCTGGGTTTTGTTCATGAGTGAGGGAAGAATGGAGCGTGACACTGACAGACGGATTGGTGCAGCGTCTGCAGTATTGTGGACTCTGTACCGGTCCGTTGTGGTGAAGGAGCTGAGCTGTAAGACAAATCTCTGTTTACTGGTCAGTCTACGTTCCTCCCCTCACCTCTGGTCATGAACTCTGGTAGAGACTGAAAGAATGAGATCGTGGATCCAGGAGGTTGAAATGAGTTTCCTCTGCAGAGCTGGACTCTCCCTTAGAGACAGGGGGAGAAGTTCAGCTATCAGAAGAGACTCAGAGGAGAACCACTGCTCCTCCACATCCAGAGGAGCCAGTTGAGGTGGTTCATCTGGTGAGGATGCTTCCTGGGTGCCTCGGTGTTTCAGGCATGTCTGACTGGAAGGAGACTCTGGGGAAGACCCAGGACAGGTTAGAAAGACTGCACCTCTTGGTTGGTCTGGGAACACCTTGGAGTCCTCCCAGAAGAGCTGGACGAGGCTGTGGAGAGAGATGTCTGGACCTCCCTGCTCAAGATGCTGCCCCCGAGACCTGAGTCCAGAACCAGAGGAAGATGGATGGATGGATGGAAGGATGGATGGATGGATGGACGGACGGATGAACGGATGGACTTTGACCTCTTTGTGGGATATTAAACACGTCAATAGAAATATTGGTAACACTTTACCTTACTTTGAGCATGCATCAGGATACTTTACAATCAGGTACACAAAATTTGCTCAACTACTAGGGAACGCCTCAGGAACAAATCAGGAGCTAATGGGTAGTTAACCAGTGCTTACTGGGGAACACACAGCCATGCCTTGTTAGAGCACTACTGGTCTGTAACCACAGAAACACAGGAGAAAGTTTCCATGTTGGTTCTGAATAAACCCTGCACCAGTGAGCTCACAGCTCGTAAATGTCAAAAACCTGTTTCCTATTTTATTGGATTTTCTCGTTTGTAAATCTACTGGTTAACTACCCATTAGTGCCTCTTTATTTACTAACTAACCAGTAGTCCCCTAATAAGGCTGGGCTGTGTGTTCCCCAGTAAGTACTGGTTAACTACCCATTAGTTCCTGAAGCGTTCCCTAGTAGTTAAATTTTATGTACCTTATTGTAAAGTGTTACTGAAATATCAAAGTAAATATGTAGTTTTTAGTATTTTACCTTCTTTGATACGGCATCTTGATTTGACTGTTTATAACTTGATTTCAACTGATTTTTGTTGAATTATCGTCTGTACTGTTTAAATCATGTCTCTCTTGAAAAGACTCGGTGAGAAGATCCTGCAGGAATCAGGCGTGAAGCTGCAGGAGAAACGTGCAGAAGTTTTAGACGCTCCCTCAGATCGAGTCTCTTCATGCGAGTCACGGACAGGTTTAGATTCTGCACCGTCCGCTCTGTAAAAACATTTTCTCTTGGTTTCTTGTGATTTTCCTGTAAAAGCACCGCAGGCCTCGCTCAGCGGCGGTGCATGTCGTGCCCGTGTTCTGGCAGGGGGACAGGGACGTGCTGCAGCTGGTTCTGCTCACAGATCATTACTTTGATGCAAATTGTGGGTGAAATGAGTCGTCACATTAAAACGCAGCGAGGATAAAACTGTCCTGCAACTTTCAGCAGACCTGCCGACGGCTCAGGGTCCACTCTATAAAGTATCTCTCCCTCCAAGTATTTTATTTTGTTGTCCAACAGCCAGAAAGTTAAAGCTCCGTTTACACGAGAACATCTGGAGAGCTTTGTATTTTTCAGTTTATTGGGACAAATAAACAAAAGAGCAGGTTTACATGGAAACACTAATTTATTTCAGGCAGGACTGCCAGAGAAGAAATGATGAACTACTGTACTGTCACTTCTAGATTACTGTATTTTGACCCAAGCTGTCCTCTGTGCTGGGTGAGGGTGTTGTCAGACGAAGTGCGTGTTGTGTTTGATGAACATGTGTACAGAAAAGGAAAAGCTTGTCTGGCAACCCTGAGGCTCAGCTCATCAAGTCTGCATTCAAAACTGGTGATTAAACTAAAGTTTCTTTGGACCTAGGATGTTGTTGGTTTGCTCCTACATGAAGAAAAGGTGTGAGACAAAAACACCGCTCTCCGTCATGCATCACGTCGGCAGGAGGCACCTCCACAACGCTTCGGTGACGGAGATGAGGGCTCGTGTGTCTGAACGGCCAGAACGAGGCTCAAACGCTCCGGTACGTCGTGTAAACGGCCTAAAGAACTCCAAATGAATAACGCCTTCTTCTTTCAGCTGCTCCTCCGTCAGGAGTAGCCAGAGAACCAACTCGTACAAAGACCTGGTGATTGATTTTACACCGGATGACCTTCCTGATGACGCCACAGACACCGAGCTACCACCGCCTCTGTGTGGAGCAGAGCTGCATCTAGGGCGCCCGGGGGAGCAGATGGTGGGGGTTAAAGGCCTTGCTCAAGGGCCCAGAGTCGGGCAAATGAGGGTGGAGGCAGGTGTGGGTGCTTCTCCTTTTCCACCCACATTCTGATGTCGGTCCAGGAAGTTGAACCGGTGACATTTCAGCCACAGGCCCACCCTCACTAACCTCTGCACCACCACTCGCATAATAAAGCCTACGCAGAAAAACACCCTGTAAATCATCCTAAAAAGTTAAAGGAGTAAAACGATGAAGTCCAAGGTTGGACGTTGGGGGCGGGGCCAATGGATCCTGAAGCCGGTCGAGCTGTTTCTTCACGTCTGCTGCGTCAGGTTCAAAGACAGGAAACACCCGCGTTCCTCTGAGCTGGTCCTCATTTAAGACAATGACCTCCTGAGAGATGACGCTTCCTTGAATTGTGCACACTTTCCACTCAGTAAATGACCCCCCCCCCCCCGGTGGCTGCCCTGCTACAAACAGTAAAGTCGGCCGTGTCCCTTCATCCACTGAGTCTGTTCAAAGCAACGACGTGGTTTATTGTCCAACTGTACGAGTGTCACAAAGATCATTTAAGTGATTAGACGGCTCAGCTACGGACAGATCATTACACAGAAGACACGGAGCTTCAGAAGACACGGAGCTTCAGAAGACACGGA